TGTAGCCCCATTTGTCTATGTTTGCCTTTGTGCCTGTGCTTTTAGGATTATATTTTTAATATTTGTCTCTCTTTTTTTAATTCTTCCAAAGTCTGTTAAGTTTATAGTCATGGTAATCCGTGTTTATTTATTTAGGCTATGTCTTTTTTTTTCTTTTAGGCTAACTACATATTTTGTTAGCCTGACCACATCTTTTATTGGTTTCTTTCTTCGTTGCCGTTCCTTGCATCTCGCGCTATCTCCCTTCTTGGTGCTGTTATTTGTGTTTCACTGAGGACTCTCGCTAAGTAATTTCCTCCCAGAGAGGGTTTGTGGGGCTGAGCTTGGAGCCCCTGCAGAGCTAAAGTGTCGTCATTCTGCCCTCGTTTTTGAGGGCAGTTTGGCTTGGTGTAGGATCTTCAGCATTTCTGAAATTCCATTTTTTCATGTGGCAAAAACCCTGTGGGAGGGAGCCTGGGAAGGAGCTGTTGGTGACTGAGCAGCAGGGGACAGTTTGGGGGAGGCAGGAGAGGCAAGGGCCCTGGGCTGGGTGCCCCGTGGGCAGAAGGCTGAGGAGCTTCCCAGGCTGGCTGCCCGGTGTCCTCTGGATGGAACTGGCACAGAAGGCTGCCACGTGGCTCAGACACCAGAGCACACGGGGCGGAAATTCTAGGAGCTCCTGCAGCAAGGAGGGCTGCTACTTGCACCCCTGACCCGGAACTGCATCTCGAGCTCTTGGCACAGGCCAGACTGGCGGGAGCAGGGGGTGGGGGACCAACTAGTGGGCGACGTGTGACAGACAGGTGGGCACGTGACAGACGGGTGGGGGTCGTGGGACCAACTGGAGGGGGGTGTGTGATAGACTTGTTGGGGATGTGTGACCGACTGGTGGGGGGCACGGGCCCAACTGGTGGCGGTTGGGGGACTGACTGGTGGGGGGCCCAGGACAGACTGGTGAGGGGTGGGGGCAGATTGGGGTGCAGGCAGCATAAGGCAGGGGCCTGGAAGTGCAGCCCTGAGAGCGAGCACAGGGAGGAGTCCTCGTCCTCCCTGGGAGGAGGGGCAGCAGGAAGCCCTGGTCGGGGCCGTTTGAAGGTCAGAGTTGCTGGAGATGCAGGGGCTGGCACTCAGGTGACGGTGAGTGTTTGCAGCTGTACGGGCGTTGATGCTGCTGCGACTCCCCAGGGTGGGCCAGTGGAGCACGTGGGCTGGAGGCCACGTGGGCCGCAGGCTGTGTGGTGGAAGAGTGCGGTGGGCCCTCAGGCTGGCCAGCCACGCTGTGAGGCGGTTTTGTTAACTGCAGCCCAGACGTGTACCAGATCCAGTGTTGGTTTCTTTCGTCAAAAGATAAAATAATGAAATGTGACTATAACCTTACAATATAAATTGTTGGGACTGGGTACTGCTGACGGACTGAAGAGGAGTGTTACAGCATCGCTTGCTTCCTTTTTGGGTAGAAGTTAGAAGTGGGTGTCCCAAGACTGTGGAGCTTGCTTTGGAATGTCCCCTTCATTCCCCTTGGCTCTGTGGGGCGAGCTCTCCAGGTCGGTGTTACAGAGCGGAAGGCAGGGTAGCCAAGACATGTCCCTCTCGCGCGTCACTGTGCTGTAGTCCAGCAAGATTGGGTAAGTTGTCCTCGAGGAGCAGGCTCTTGCGTCATGGGGGAGCCTGCCGGTGCTGAGGAGCCTGGGGGAGGACAGCGTGCGTAACGGCGCTCAAAAGGGGACTCTGGCCCGGCTGTTCGGCCACCCAGACCAGGAGCATTGTGATCACTGGTGCAGGAACTGACAGCGTGTGCAGGCCTGTGACCTTGTCTCTGTTCCTATGTTATGGTTGTTTTGATTACATTTATTGAAATATAATTTTAATGTCTGAGTCTGATGATAAAACTTTGGAGCTTTTGTTTATTGTGCATTGTGGGATTGTTTCAGTTCATTATTTAGTAATTCTGCTTTATTGTGTTTCCTGAAAGCGTCAGTCCTGGTCACACTGGACACACATGACTGTCCTCGCACAGTCTGCAGGGCCCCTGGGGCAGGTGGTGGCTCCTGAGGCCTTGGCTCCACTGTGTTGGGAGAGGAGGGTGCTGGTGGAGCCAGGCCTTCCCGGCCTTCTGCACTCCTGCGTGGTCTTCAGTCCTGGCCCTGGGGGTCTCCGTGGTACGCTGTGGGCACCTCCCTCTGTGTGTGGGAGCCCCGTGCTGGGAGGCCTGCCCGTCTGTCAGGGCAGAGCTGGCTCACCAGCTCCCGGTCTTGGAGCGGAGCTCAGAGCTCTCACTCTTTCAAAGCAGTAAAATTAATGCCTACACTTCGATTTAAAAAATAGCCTTAGAGGGGCCGGCCCGGTGGCGCAAGCGGTTAAGTGCGCGTGCTCCGCTGCGGCGGCCTGGGGTTCGCTGGTTCGGATCCCGGGCGCGCACCGACGCACTGCTTGGCAAGCCATGCTGTGGCGGCGTCCCATATAAAGTGGAGGAAGATGGGCACAGATGTTAGCCCAGGGCCGTCTTCCTCAGCAAAAAAAGAGGAGGATTGGCGGATGTTAGCACAGGGCTGATCTCCTCACAAAAAAAAAAAAAAAAATAGCCTTAGATTCTGAAAGGGAGTATGCAGTTGTCGGTAAGCATGCCACCAACCGCGATTCCAGCTCCTTCCTCTAAGAGCTGCTCGTGTCTCGTCCAGGAGTCTAGTGGACACACGCACTCAGGTCTCTATGCCGTGTTGTGTTGTTTTATTCTGAGGTGCGTTTGGGAAACTAAAGCTTGGACGTGGAGGACAGGGATTCGTATCTGCCGCCGGCTGTCTGCTAGTGGCTTCACCTTACCCATGCACCACGGAGCTGACTGTGAGGCGGAAGGCTCTTTGGGGGTGTAAAGTCAGGACAGGCCGGTTAGGTCACAGACCTCAGTACAACTGAGGATGCCTGCAGACACCTTTCCCTGGTGGTGGTTTGGAAACATGTGGGTGTTGCGGACGCTCTGTGTCTCTACCTGTTGAGGATGGCCCTGTCACTGTGTCTTGCTCAAACTAGACCCTGGCATGGTCGTAGGAAAGACTAAGTCATACTTCATAACCTCCAGAAATTCCATCTCATGGCAGGGCACACTCAGATGGAGTCGAGTGTGGGGGCCCTACGCCAGGGAAGGTGCCAGGTGCCGTGGCAGAGCATGGTTGGGGAGCCTGCCGAGCGTTGTGCTGGGCATGGGGCCTGGTTCTGTCTGCACTTTCCCTCCTTTGGTCATTGACTTGATGTCTATTCAGAAGCCCCCTGGGCCAGGCACCGTGGTGAGTGCTGTCTAGGAAACGGGTGTCTTCAGGCTGACTTCCTCACCCAGTGGAGACGAAAAGAAAGAAAGAACCCCCTCATTTTTTACAAGAAATCCTGAATCCTCAGGAGGAAGCATCCGTGAGGGCAGGCCGAGTGGGGTGATGGAGGGCCCTGCAGACCACTCTGGCCAGCAGCACGGATCCGAGCAGGCCGGCTCGTGGGGATGGGAGCTGATACCCCACGCTCACCGCCTGCAGCTACCGCTGTCATGGCATGCTGCGAGAGCCTGCACCGCACTCCCTCAGCAAGGGCGGTTCCAGCTGGTTCTGCACGCGACACTGGCGCCGCCTCCCATGTCCCGCTGTGTCTGGTTTCCTAGTTGTGTTGTGGTTTGAGAGCTCCCTCCGACCCGTGGCAGGCTCAAGCGTTTACTGGCCTCAGTCCCGGCACGGTGGTGGCCATGCGCTGAGGTCTCCCCGTGTGGCAGATGGGGCTCGTCCAGTGGCGTTCTGCCCCTCAGGCTGGTAAAACCCAAGGTGTGGATGGGAATGTTTGCCACTGCCACCGAGTCCCCACGGGAGGCTGGGTGGGAGTGGCAGCTGGGGGCAGGGACAGTGCTGGCCTTGCGGGTCTTCGGGGAACAGTCCTGCTGCGGTGGCCCCCTCCTTGGTTGGGGCCAGGCCCTTCCTGTCTCTGCCGTCGCCCCAGCATCTCTGTCCCCAGGAAGCCAGGCTCCAAGCCAGGCCTGGTCTTCTCCCTGCGGATCACGGTGCCTGGCACGCAGTTGGTGCCTAACGAGTGTTGGTGGAGCCCGCAGTGCCTGCTGGGAGGGGGTCCTTCCGCATCGCCGGGCACAGCTGAAGACGAAGCGTTCCCTCGGGTGTGGTTTATAACAGCCTTGCAGGTTTCTGCAGGGTACCGCTGCTGCCAGTGCAGCCAGGCCATTTGAGCAGCCTTGGTGGTGGGGAAGTCCTCGTCTTCGACGGGTTTCCATAGGATTCCCGAGGGTGCAGTGCTGAGTCCGCAGCCTGGTCGTGTTGCGACGAGCACGGGAGCACAGAACAGGGCGGAAGAGGACATCAGCTGCAGCTCTGTCAAGACGGCAGGAGAGTGACCAGGACTCTCCATTATTCTTCATGGGTTTTTCACTTTTCACATGTGTGTAGGGAATAGGTTACCTTTATACCCGGGCAAAGATAAGTGTTCTCTTGCTGAGCTTGGTCCGATGTGCACTTGTAATTTCACGTGAGTGTTGGTGCCCTCACTGTTCAACCCTGGTCCAGCTGAGGTGCCACTTTCTGTATGTCCTTGACCTGGTGCCCATCTGTCTTGTCAGTGTCCTGCCTCTGCTGCACGACGTGGCTTCTCCCAGGTTCATCGTGGGTTTTCTAACCTGGTCGGTTTAAGCCCCGGTACTACTCTCCTTTGTGGTCATTTCCTTAACTATTTGTTATCCTAGATGAACTTGGGATAATTTTGTCCGCATACATTTAAAGATTTTTTTGGAAGGCACGGAGGCGGCACCGTGTCTGTAGATTTGGGGACAGTATGCATATTTGCATTAGTCCCCTCATCCAGGAAAGTGAGTGACTCTTCATTCTTTTGTGGGCCTCAGTCAAATTTTAGAGTAGACACATTGTTAGAGAACTAGAAGCCTAAGACTTTTGCCTCAAAAAGTGCCATGAAGGAGCCGGCACGTCCCCCACGTGGTGCTCGCACATGATGGTATGGATCTGAGCCATCTCCTTTCTTTCTAGGTGCCCTATGAAACACTGAATAAACGCTTTCGAGCTGCTCAGAAGAACATTGACCGGGAGACCAGCCACGTCACCATGGTGGTGGCTGAGCTGGAGAAGACCTTGAGCAGCTGCCCTGCCGTGGACTCCGTGGTCAGCCTTCTGGATGGCGTGGTGGAGAAGCTTAGTGTCCTCAAAAGGAAGGTCAGTGCTGCTTCCAGGTCGTGCTCCCGTCAGGCTGCAGTGTGGGCCCCACAGACCCAGCCTCCCCGTGTACCCAGTCTGTCCTGAAGAGGGGATGTCTTCTGTGGGAACAGGGTCGCAACTGGGGCCAGGAAGTCCCGAGTAGAGAGGTGGGCTGTCGCGGCAGGAGCATGGGAGAGGTGTCCCCCTCTGCGCTGTCTGCACCCTCGAGCCTCTGGCGGGCTGGCAGGCTGGCTTCCAGCCCCACGTTCCTCTTCCTGTAGGGCTGGTTGTCCTGGCTCCAGAGTGTCCCAGGCCCAGACGGGGAGCCCAGGACGGGGAGCAGATTGATTATTGTTAGAATTTCACCTCAAAACAGCAGGTAGGCTTTCTTGTTTCTGGGAGTGGCAGACAGAGCATTTGGACTAATATGCCACTGAGAGCAACCCAAAAAGTGTGATAAGATATTTTAAAACATCTTATTGACTGTATCAAAGAGCTCATGAGACAGAAGGGAATCACCAGAATCGGAGGGCAGGGGGTCAGAGAGGCGAGGAGCCACTGCTGCCTGGGAATGCCAGCCGTGCCACACCAATGGGAGCTCCTCCGAGGGCCTTGCTAGCCAGTGACCCTGGGGCAGCAGAGGGGAAGCCTGATGGCAGGACCCTATAGCACTACACATCAGGGAGGGGTCCCCAGGAGCAGACTTCCCAGACAGAGCACTGCAGGCTGGGTTCAGAACACCTGGGTGAGCCAGAACCTCACCTTCTACCTGGTGTGGGTGTTCCAGCAGGTAGATGCTGTTCAGAGTAGATGCAGTTCTCTCGTGTGGGGGACGTGTCAGTCTGAGTATCACATTATTCAAGTACAGTCCCCAGCACACTCAGAGATAACCAGGTGCACAAGACACAGCAGACACAACAGAAAGAGATCTGCGCAGACTTCAGATATACAAACGGTCAGATGCTGCACTTTACTGAGTCAGGAATACATAACAGCTTGAAAATATCTGCAGGGAAAAGAAAGTACAAAAAGTGATTCAGAGTTTAAAAAGAACCAAGTAAAACTTCAAGAAGTGAAAAATATGATAACTGAAGTGAAAAACTCAAATATTTGCTTATAACAAACATTTTAACACTTAATCAGACAGAGCTAAAGAGAGAATTAGTGAACTGGAAGGTACGTCTGAGGAAATTATCTAGAATGCAGCACAGAGAGGTAAAAAGATGAAAATACATAAGAGGATAGGAGACATCAGCGAACAGACTGCTGTGTTCAGCCAGAGTCGGAAAGGAGAGGTGGGTGGGAGTGGAGATGGTGTGAGGAGAACGACCAAGAGGTTTTCAGAGCTGATGGAAGTCACCAGTTCAGAGTCCCAACAGGATAAATAAAAATAAACCTACGTAGGATTTTCACTTAGTGGAACTTAAGAAAACACAGACAGAAAAATCTTAAAAGCAGCTAGAGGAAAAAGACCACTTCTAAAGGAGCAGCAAATACCCGACAGCTGACTTCTTGACAGCAGTTGGAGGCCAGAAAATAGTGGAATGTGCTGAAAGAAAACAGGGTCACTGAGAATTCTGGACCTGCACTGTCCATTGTGTAGCCACTAGCCAGCCACATGTGGCCATTAATATTTAAATGAAATAAAATTAAGAATTCAGTTCCTCAGTTGCACTAGCCACTTCAGGTGATTGAGTCTGGCTGCTGTATTGGGCAGTGCAGGAATAGAACATTTCTGTCTAGCTGTATTCATTTTGAACAAAATTGACTTTAAGGAAACAAGTACTATAAGAGATAGAAAGTCAATTTATAATGATAACTGGTTTAATTAGCCAAGAAGCTATAACAAATTTGAGATTATACGTATCTGGCAACATAGCTGCAGGATATATACCTGAATGTACATAACGTCCCTGGAAAGAAGGCTGAATATCCAGAGTGGGCTGTGACATGCCTCTCAGTGTAACAGCTGAGCACAGACACGCCTCATGGGCAGGGGGACACTCCTCCCTTTACGTCCCCCGTGCAGTCCAGGGACCTCCCCAGCCTTCCTCTGACTTTTCCTTGCCCCCTGTTTGTGGACGCTCGGAATGGGGCAGCCTGGTCACCGCCCCGTCCTGACCGCTCCTCTGTGCTGCGTGTCTCAGGCGGTGGAGTCCATCCAGGCCGAGGACGAGAGCGCCAAGCTGTGCAAGCGCAGGATCGAGCACCTCAAGGAGCACAGCAGCGACCAGCCCGCAGCGGCCAGCATGTGGAAGAGGAAGCGCATGGACCGCATGATGGTGGAGCACCTGCTGCGCTGTGGCTACTACAACACGGCCGTGAAGCTGGCGCGGCAGAGCGGCATCGAGGTGGGCCGGCGTCCACGCCGCTCGCTTCCTGCGGCCTGCCGGGGAGAGGGAAGGGCGCGGGCCACCCTTGGACGTGCTTGTTGCTGCGCGGCGTGTGTGCTTGTGCCGTGGGGGCAGAGTTCCCTGGTCAGTAGAGGCCCCACACCAGGTGTGCTCCTGGCGCTGTTTTTATTGGCGTGAGGCCGCTTTTCTAGGGTGGGTCTGTTTTCAGTGGTACCCATGGTGCAGGCATAGAAATAAACAGTGCTGCTGCCTTCAGTGCTCTTCTCCTGGGCAGTGTGGAGCCTGCAGAGCAGGCTGCTTGGCAGTGGCGCAGGCGTCCGGCAGGGGCGGGGCTCTGTGGCCTCACTCAGTGACCTCGCCCCCTGACCAGGCCTTCACAGCTCTGGCTGCGCCTTTCTCTAGCCTTTGGGCTGGTTTAGCTGGGGGCTGCCCCTCTGCTGTCGGGCTGTGGTCCCCCTGGTCCCCTGAGGGCAGCACCCACCATGGTGGGGGGCCCACCGCGGTCGGAGCTGCCCAGATGCCCGCCCCCACCCCCGCTCTGCCCCATCCAGATTTAAGGTGATGTCCATGTCCCACGTTAACTAAAATGACCATGTTTTGAAATCTCTGGTGGCAGAATCTCTATAGAGAGCAGTGTCTTCATTGTCTTCATATCCTGGGTGGGATCTTGCCTTAGCTCTGTCCTTGAGCTGTGGCCTCTGCCATGCCCTTGGGACTTGCTGAGTCCACCCCTCTGTCCTGGGGGTGCTCCTCCCTATCTCCTCAGCCAATCTAAACACTGCTGGCCTTTCTGGGCCCATCTTCCCCCACCATGATCCCATCCCATTTTGTGGCTTAAATCCCACCCACGTGTGTGTGGCTCCCACCTAGGGCCAAATGGGCCTCAGCCCTGGAAGCTCCAAAGCCCAGCATAAGACCCCCTGTCTCCCAGTCCTGGGACGTGGCCTCGGGTCCCCCTCGGTGCTATGCTCTCGACCCCACGCAGGTGTCCAAAGGTCCTGGCTGTGCGCCCTGGCCCCACCAATCCACCATCTCCGTGTCACCGTCCTGGCCTCAGCCCCAGGCCATGGCAGGAGCCCCCTGCCCAGGCAGGCTCCTTGTCATCCCCTGGACTTGGCCATCTGCCGTCCTGCCTCTGCCGTGTCCTGCTCGCAACACTTCTCGCCCATCCCCAGGCCCCTGTGCTCCCTGGGCCCCTGTGGGCTCTGCTCCTTTCCTTCGACGTGGTCGTCACACTGACGCAGCAGAGGGGGCGCGTGTGCACCCCAGCCCTGGGCAGCTCCCAGGTGCCCAGGCTCCTGCAGTGGACAGCGGGGCCACCAGTCTCAGCTCTGGTGCCCAGCAGCCCCTCCCACCCGTCCCACCCACCCTCTTTCTTCCCCGCCCGACCGGCCAGCTTCTGCCTGACTGACAGGCTCTCCTTGCCTCATGTTCGCCTGGCATGTCCCATCCATCTGTGGTGGTGTTTAGAGAGACCTGCGAGGGCATGGCTGAGCGCACCTTGCAGTGGCTGGGGAATCACAAGCTACCCGCACCTCCTGGCTCCAAGGAATGTGTGCTCTGTAGGGGGAGAGAGGCATGGAGTCCAGTGGGATTGTGTGAGGGTGACGTGTTTACAGAGGTGCACAGGGCAGAGAGGGACAGGAGGAGGGCGAATTTCAGAAGGTTGGTTGGGGCAGACCTTGTCGAGGAGACACGAGGCTAGGCTTGAAGGGGGATGAGGGGAGGGTCCTAGGACAGGCCCCGGAGCTGCCATGTGTTGGGGTGGGGTCAGAGCATGTGCAGAGCTGGGAGACTGGGGGTTCACTCAACTGAAATGGGCCCAGGGAGGGTGCAGTGGAGGAATTGCTTTAAAACGCTCACCCTGGTTGCTTTGTGAAGAACAGAATGCGGGGGATGCTGGGGCCCCTAAGAAGTTGCTGCTCTGCTCCAGGCCCTGCTCAGATGGTAGTCAGATCCTGGACATCCTATACAGGGGGCGCCGCAGGATCTCCACGTGGAACCCCCAGCTTCATACCATGCGCACCTTGAAGTCACTTCTAGGAGGATGTCCTCCTGCCCTCAGGGTGGGGCGGGGCCTCCCGCAGGATAGGAAGAGGCTGGTGTATTGGGGTTCATTAAGAAATCTGTTCATCAAAAGACACCATGAAGAGAGAGCACCAGGCCAGCCCAGACGGGGGGCCTCGAGCCACAGGCAGTGCCGACGGTCACAGAGGAGAGCAATGCCTGCAGTCATGTCTGTCTGTGTCCATCCGGTTAGAAACCGCAATGCTGGCACCTCACGTGTGTGGACACCTGGCTTTCTTGGATGATGTTTAGTTTTGGTTTATGTTGTACACGCTGGCACCCCTCCAGCCAGCTGGTTTAACGTCACTCCTGTGACTTCCACGGCCAAGGGCATGTGGACGTCAGGGAAACCGTCAGCAGGAGAGAGAAAGATCCAGACACTGCAGCTGTGTGAACGGAGGACACACGGTGGACCGTGATGTGTGGGCGGAAGGCCACCTCTTGGGATTTAGAGCAGAGCTGAGAAACAAGGATGGAGAACAGGAGAGGAAGAGCCTTGGAAACTCGTGTGGGAGAGCCAGCGTGTGCCTGACAGGATAGGTTCAGGAAAAGAGTCAGAAGGTGGTGGAGAAAAGGTCACAGAAGTGATCTAAGAGCACAACCTCCTCTGAGGCGAGGTGCCGCCTCACCCTGTTCAGTGAATAGGAACCCGACGCTGGGCCTTCACACATGGCTATGGGGCTGTGGGCTATGGCCCACAAGAGGGGCAGGGGGAGGAGGCAGTGTGGCCGGGGGCAAAGGGGCTTGTCCAGGCCACACACCTGGTCCTCCTGGCCTGAGTCCTGCTCTGTGCCCTCTCCTCATCCCCAGGCCTGGCAGTCAGGACATGGGCTCCGGGAGCCCTGGTGGGGTGTCAGGCCGTGTGAGGTGGGGTGGCGTCGGGGCACCACCCACTCTCGGCCTCTGGCGGCCCAGCTGTCATCCTTACTGAGGGCGCAGTAGAGCTGCCCTTGCATGGCCACCCTGAACTGCCCGCTGCAGAGCTTCCTCAGAACCTGGAGCGCTCACAGGTGGTCTCCAGCACCCGGCCCTCCGCTGGTGCACACCCTTTGCCCTTTTGGTCTTCTGCTCTTCTGCCCTCACCGGCAAGCACTTGTTTGCACAGCCAGCCAGCCAGGGGGACCTGTGCTGGTCCGCGGGTGCAGTGCATGCTGAGCCTGTGCATTGCCATGAAACAGTACTCCGATTATTGTTTTTTGTTGTTAATTTTGCTGTAAATGTCTGGTTTTAACTGCAGAGTCATGAGCTATAATGTAGTTGTTTCTGTGTGTTAACTTACTGCCTACCTGAGATACAACAGTGTCTGAGTTGCTGTGGTTGCGTCTCTTGAAAAGCTTGTATCCCGTGCTGCACTCACTGGGGGCCTCTGAGGCCTTCTCCAGCCACACCTCCTGCGCGGAGGTCGGCCTGCCCTGGCTGGTTGGACGTGGAGGTTCTGTGGTGAACTCCTAACTTGCTTTGCCATGGCTGACCTTGGGCTGAGACAGTGGACAAGGAAGCAGACTTGCCCTCTGTGGCAGTGCCGAGCCGCTGTGTGAGGCCTGCACCGGGACGCTGGAGACATGTCTGAGTCACGGCTCGCCTGCTGGTGTGGGACTCCAGCACGTAGAGCGTCCGTGGTCACTTGAGAGTGCAAGGGATCCCTTGGGTTGGCTGTTCCACCCGTTCACTGAGAAACTGATGTCGGCTAACGTTTTTGGCTGGTGTGGCATGGGCGCATTCAGCACCCCGCCCTGCACCCTGTGCAGCTGGGGAAGTCGTCCTTGCTGGCGGCCTTGCAGGCCCCGGGCACCACACGGAGCTCCCTTAACTGCAGCAGATGTGTGGTTGAGTTGGTGGAGGTTCCTTACTGTGGGCTCCTCCAGAGCTCGGGGATGCACACCCTGGGCCAGTCTTCCCAAAGAGCGAAGGCACTGGAGAGAAGGGGAGGGGAGAGAAAACTGGGCCAGAGCCTGCCCCTTCTCAAAAACCTCGAGTTCAAGTAAATCTTAACAAGAGAAAACACACGGAAAGTGAGAGTGTGGGCTGCCGGGGTCTCCAGGTTTTCCTGGTGTAGGGCTGAAGTGGGGGTGGGCTCTGCCCTTGGGGCCCCAAGGTTCTGGGTGGGGCTCGGGAGACGGTATCTAAATGCGGCACAGGCCTTTCCGATGGCCAGACCCCACAGGGTGTGCTCCTGCGCCCGGAACAGCCTGGGGTGCTCCTGCGAGATCAGAACACCCCAGCCCTTCTGCCAGGCTGCACAGTGGGGTGCAGGGTTAGTGTCGGGGCGAGGTTGCTGGCAGCGAGCCCGCCGGGAGCGAGCCCGAGGGCATCCGCGGCCCTTGAGGCGGGGGTCCAGGGGTCCAATGCCTGAGTCCAGTGCCAGTGGTCTGAGCACGCACCGCTTTCTTCCCCTAAGGACTTAGTGAACATCGAGATGTTCCTGACGGCCAAAGAAGTGGAGGAGTCCCTGGAGAGGCGCGAGACCGCCACCTGCCTGGCCTGGTGCCACGATAACAAGTCCCGGCTGCGCAAGATGAAGGTGTGCGGGGCTCCGGGGGCGCGGGGCGCGCCTGGGGGGCGGGGGCGGGGCGCTCATGCGGAGCTGGGGTGGGCGGAGGCTGTGCCAGTGCCCCGGAACCAGCACGCCTCCACCTGCTGGTTCCAAGTTCTTTGCTTCTGGTTCGTGGACTGGGCTTGTGGGGTTTGGTGTGGGTCTTGGTTTTTCAGTGGTGATGTTTGGTTTTTAGATAAAATCCCTGAAGAGCGCGCCCGTTTGCCTTACGGCTTGGACCACTGTTCCAAGCGTGCGAGTCTGAAGGGCAAGGTGGTGGCCGGGCGCGCAGCATGTTCAGCGCTGCTGGGTTGGAGCCTGGGGCCGTGTGCCTGCTGTTCAGTCAGGACGCGGGGAGCCCCTGGGGAAGCTGGTGCCCCCCGGCAAGGGTGTCGAGTTCCGGGCTCAGATATTCTTCTCAAATACAGCTTTTCTTGAGACCCACAAGCAGCTTAAAAAATAGACACATAAACATAAATTACAGAATTTGAACATGCTTACTAAAAGGTAGTGTCACCGCGGGGCTTACAGAAATGGTTAACTGGTATTAACCTTCCCCTGCCTCCGTTAGAAAAACTGTTTGTTTTCTTTTTTCTAAACCGAGTGCGTTTAACCCCTCCCCGGTTGAGCTTGTTGTGTGCACACAGTCACCAGCCAAGGGTGACACTCTCTGCCACTCAGGGCCGCCAAAGTGAGCACGACGCGAAGACAGGACGGAAAAGTAGAGTGGCCAGTGGCTCCCCTAAAGAGAGTGAGGATCTTGGTATGGAAACCATAAAAGGAAAGCCCGAAGTGGTATGTAACTCTTGCCCGCTCGCCTGCTCCAACCCCACAGCTGCGCACACGGTGGGAGCTAGGTCAGAAGGAAGCTAGGCCTCCCGTCTTCATGGGCGTTTCTGCAAGCCCTGTCGCCTCCCAGACAACGCTGCTGCTTGGCGAGGGCGTGCCCACGGGGCTGGGTCTCAGGTGGGGCCTCGCAGCCATGGGGGCAGGGCGGGGGGCGGGGAGCCGGATCCAGGACAGCAGATCCTGTCACCTCTCCATTTGCCTTGAAAGAACACAAGTAGCCAGACAGCAATGCATTTGGAAGACGCCCTGGTGAGGTGGACAGACCACACAGTTCGTGTATGTGCATGAGCTCACACGTGGGCGCACACGCAGGCCGGGGAGGGGAGAGGAGAGAGGAGCATGGAGGGGCCACAGACACAAGCGGGACCCCTCAGATCAGTCCTGAGACTCCAGACGAGAAAGGAAACTTTGAGGCCAAGTTCCCGTAGTTGGAGAACACTTCTGGGATAACGGTGTGCCAGTTATCCTAGCATCTGTGGGCTGACTCAGGCCTCCAGTCACTGCCCGACACTGGCGCAGCGGGGTCCACGCTGCCTGTCTGGAATGTCAGATGGAACCACACACGTGGCCACCCCATGCCTGTCACAGATAGCACAGGATGTAGCCAGCGTGCAGTACTCGGTGTGACCACCTAGAATCGTGGTGTTATGCGTTTGAGTCTGAATCCTGGAGTTTCAGTACATGTGTAGTTTACCTATTAGTGGACCGTTTGACCGTTAACCACATAGAGCCAAGGGCTGTTGTAAATAACGACGTGTTTGAACGCGTCAGTTGTATAAAGTGAGAGTTTTACCCGTAACACTGCTTGTCTGGCACGTCCGCCCAGCGGCTCCCTCCTGCTTTTAGACACAGCCCCCAGTGCCCTTGAGTGCAGAAGTGGAGATCATCCATTGCCCTGGGGAGGCAGGCAAGGCCTCTTCCCACCGGTCTCCCCTCGGCCCCTGCTGGTCTGGCCTTTGAAGGGAGCTTGTCACTGGGGCCAGGACTTCGTTCCTCTTCATGATTTGTGCCACACCTGCCGCTCAGCACACGGCACATGCTCCCCCAGTTGGGGTCGGGCCAGACTGCTGCCTGGGCGCAGAGGGTGGGGAGGAGGGGGAGGGCAGGGACACCTGCCTTGCCGGGAGCACCCGTGGTGTGGACGTGCTGGGCACCAGGTGAGTGGCTCTCTGCACCTTTGCCCTGGCCAGCCCCCGGCTCTGGGCAGCACAGTCCATCATCAGTCACGTCAGCCGGTGCTCCACCCTTGTGTCTGTGGAGTGGGCTGGGGCCGCATGGAGGGCACCCCTGATGGGTCCGGCTGAGGTGCTTCCTGAGAATGCAGCGAGCACCCCTGGAGGCTCGGGGTGGGGGCAGGGTTGACTGACTACTGGCCGTGTGGAATTTCCGTTGGTGCCATCTTGTGGTCTGGGTACCCTGGAAGTCAAAGTGACAAATGAGTGAAGAACCCTAAGAGTTGCTTCTTCTATGAATTCCACACATACTGTTTCTGGTGGGAAATACTGAGTGTTTTCTGAAACCACGTTGAAGATATAGTTTAAATTATTTCTTTTGTAAAATAATCCAGCTTTTCATCTTCAGTTACAAAAGTGAATTTTGCCTGCTTGCTCCCTACCCTCAGCCACAAGAGTTTTAGCCCAAATTGGATTGATGCCACTAAGATTTCAGTGTTCGTGTTTAGGCTTCCGTACCAGTGACCCGGCCGCTAGTGCACGGTTAGCACCCCTCAGAACCCCGGGCGGAGCCGTTGGACCGACGCCTGCCAGACACTCAGCCGCCTTGGCCCACCTCCTTCCAGCAGCTCCCGCCCCAGGCCCCTCGCACCCTCTGAAAACCCTGGGGCCCCGCCTTTCACAGGAGCCAGTGTCTGACCACCTCTGCCCACCCGCCTGGTCCTGGCGACTGCAGGGCCTCGAACTGGCTCTTTCCTCTGGCTAGAACCTTCTCCCCAGGCGTCCGTAGGGCCCCTACCTGACACGAGTCCTTCCGGTGCGCCCTGCTTAGAGACCCAGGTTCTCACCCGCTCTGCGCTTGTTGCTCCTCTTCTGCCCGTGCAAGGTGCCACCATCCCGCACCTCCTCCACCAGGTGTCAGGGCCTCGGCATGGGTGGCCCGCCTCTCCCAGAGCAGCACCTGTCTGGGACAGACCGTGGGGACAGACCCGGCAGCTCGCGATTCTGAGTCCGAGGCCCCTGCCGAGGCTGTGCTGGAGGAGGGGAGTGGGGTTGGGAGAAGGAAGCGTGGCATGCTCGGGCTCGTGTGACTTTCCTGGTAATAACACATTCCGGGGAGCTGCTTCGTCCTCAATGAGTTGGGAACCTGCCATCACGTGGACACTCGGGAAGTCGCGGCCCCAGCGCCTCGAAGTGACTGCTAGCTGCTTCTCACCCTCAGTGACTCCTGTCAGGCGCCCAGGGCCCAGCCCCACGGGGGCCGCTCGGGGCCATTGCCCCTGGGTTTGCAGTGCGGCTCGCGCCACACTGCCCCAAGGCTGTGCAGGGACAGGCTGGGCCGCGGACACCAGAGCCCACAGTGTGGGCCAGGGCTGACATTGCAGTTTTGGCGTCAGACCTGCCTCCCGGTGGCTCTGAGTGTCTGTGGCGGTGTGTGCGTAGCGTTGAGCTGGTCTGGCGGGGTGTGCGGGGACGTGCCTCTGCAGTGGCGTCTTCTGAGCTTTGTCGTGCCTTTGTCCCCAGAGCTGCCTGGAGTTCAGCCTAAGGATTCAGGAGTTCATTGAACTCATCCGGCAGAACAAGAGACTGGACGCGGTGAGGTAGGACGTGCAGATGGGCACATGGTCCCTACCGGAGGGTGGGGCTCCCTCCCTGACGTCCCAGGGCGGGCGTGGGGCAGGGGCATCTGGGTGCAGTTGGTGTTGCCGGGGTTTGGTGCCCATAGCCAGGGCCACATGGAAGGGCTCGGGCAGGTGCCCTTTGCGGCTTCGTTGCCGCACCTGGGTGTTTCCTCTGTGGGATTCTGCGCTTGGTGCGTGGGCCTGGCCCCATCTCCCTGAGGGGCTTCTCCATGACGCTGCTCTCCAGCGTCTGGGTGGGGTCGCGCCCAGTGCATTGAGCTCCCGGCAGCCCCTGGCCCAGGTGGCACGGGGTGGGGCTCCCTTGGTCCTGAGGCTGTGGTGTAGACTGAGCTCAGAGTCTTAAAGATGACAGTGCAAACTTAGATGAACCAAAGTCTTGTTTTCTAGACACGCAAGAAAGCACTTCAGTCAGGCCGAAGGGAGCCAGCTGGACGAAGTCCGCCAGGTCATGGGCATGCTGGCCTTCCCGCCAGACACGCACATCTCCCCCTACAAGGTAACCTGTGCCTGTGCCCTCAGGCTCCAGAGGGCTGGGCTGTGGCCGCTCCCACCCTCGAGCAGGACCAGCACTCCAGGTGGCCCTCTCCCGTTTCGTTCCTGTTTTGCTGGATCAGAGAGCGTCACACGTGTTCAGCCTAGAAAGCCCAGGGCTTGGGCTCTGGTGCCTTGCCTGCCTCCGTCGCCCTCTCCCTGCCCTTCTCTGTCTGGAACACCTTGGTCAGAAGCTGGACAGATGTGGTCTGGCTGGTGCTTTTCCAGCCTCGATTGTTTCTGTCGTGGTCTTTCTCTTCCCTGTGCCAGGGTCACTGGGCACGTCTTCCGTGCTTGGTCCCTCCCCCGTGGAGGCCCCTGCTGCCCTTGACCTTGTGGTCTTGGTGTGGTCTGGGCAGGGGTGTGGGCCTGCAGCATCGCTAACCAGCCGCCGTGGCTTTGGGGGGGTCATCTGGCCTGTTGAAACCTAGGGGCAGCCCTGATGATCTCTGAATCGCCTCTCGGGTCCTTCTTCCCATCTTGAAGCATATTGCACGTTGACAGCCAAGTACCTCTGTGGTCCTGTCTTGTCAGATCTCAGTCTGACAGCCTTCCTCGTTCCTTCCGTCTCCCTCCCCTTCAGGTCAGACCTGCCGTGTTCCTGCGGGGTGGCTGGTTAAGTTCTTGGTCACACCCCCACTGTCTCTTTATGGAAGGATCGCTTGGCCCGCCCTGAGAGTTCTCTCCTCCGCAGGCTTTCTCAGTGTTGGCAGAGTGGACAGGCTGAGACTTTTCCAGATCCTCAAGCTCTTCTTCCTTTTGACTGACAATCCCATCTTTAAGTCATTTCTCTCGTCTCATATTTTACTGTAAACACTCAAGAGAAGCCAAGCTTCCCCTTCAACACTCTGCTCAGAAACAGCTTCAGCCGGGTATGCGATTTCATCCGTCACTGCTTCTACCTTCCGCAGACAGCGGGACAGGAACACAGTTCAGCCGAGCACTTGGCCTCTGTATAACAATGATCGCCGTTCCTTTGGTTCCCAGTAACATGTTCTTCCTTCCGTCTCAGACTTCCCAGAATGGCCTTTTCCGTCTGCATTTCCACCCACCTTCTGCTTGTGGCCCCTGAGGAATTCTCTCAGAAGACAGGGCTCTCTCTCCAGCTCTCCTCCTGTGCTCCCACCAGCATCACCCATGAGGGTCCGTTCCCGGCTGTGTAGGCTCCTTCTAGATGCACCTCCAGACTCCCAGCCTCTGCCTGTTACCTGAATCCACAGCCGCATCCACATTTTTCCATATGTATATTGCTTATTTATTTGGTTTGTTTTCTGTCTTGGCCCCTGTCTTAGTCTGTTCCGGCTGCTGTAACAAAATCCCGCAGACTAGGTGGCTTATAAAAAACAGAAATTGGGGCCGGCCCCGTGGCTTAGCGGTTAAGTGCGCGCGCTCTGCTACTGGCGGCCCAGGTTCAGATCCCGGGCACGCACCGACGCACCGCTTCTCTGGCCATGCTGAGGCCGCGTCCCACATGCAGCAACTAGAAGGATGTGCAACTATGACATACAACTATCTACTGGGGCTTTGGGGGAAAAAAAAGGAGGAGGATTGGCAATAGACGTTAGCTCAGGGCTGGTCTTCCTCACACACACACAGAAAAAGCAGATATTTATTTCTCATGGTTCCGGAGGCTGGAAGTCTGAGATCAGGGTGCTGGCACGGTCAGGTGAGGGCCTCTTCCGGTTGCAGACTTCTCCCTATGTCCTCGCATGGGGGAAGGGTCTAGGGGCTCTGTGGGGTCCCTTTTATAAGAGCACTAATCCTATCCGTGGGGGTTCCACCCTCATGACCTAAGCATCTCCGAAGGTCCCCCCTCACATCGGAAGGTGGCTGGAAGCTTCTCCACCCTGCTTGAATTCACAAGTTCTACGGGGTTTAGGAATATCTTATAATTAAAATCATCAGGTCACAGAGATCTTCAGGTGGGGAGTCAACTCAGATTCTAACTCATAGCATCTTACATGTCTCTTCCCTGCTCTGGAGAAGATTGGTTAGAAATGCAGGAAAGGCTGACCGGCCCTTGGAGATGAGGCGTCCAGCTCAGGACGGGTGTGGAGTCCGTGTCTCCTTCCTCCCTGAGGGGGCCTTGCAGGGCAGCAGGGAGCCAGGAGTGCTGCCATCCGCCACCTCCAGGGCAGGAGGGCCGAGCCTCGGGGAAGGCTCCGTGCCAGCACAAAGGAGAAGCCATGGCAGCCAGCGCGCATGACACCTCCCCGGAGCAGAGCCTTCCATCTGTGTGGGCGTCTCCAGCAGAGTCCAGGCCGGCCGGGTGACAGGCGCAGCCCACGGACACTTAACAGTGAACGATGGTCAGAAGAATTCAGCAACGCGCAAACTGAGATGCACACGGGAGAAGCTGGGCTTGGAGGAAACAGGCAGTTCAGGGTACAGAAAACCTAAGGGAGAGTCGAGGCAGTGGGGTGTCCTGAAGCCAGAGCGACCAGAGCAGAGAACGAGAGCAGTCGCGAGAGGCGGCTGAGTTGCCATGTCAGGGCAACAGCACGCTCGTCCTTCGGGGTGGGATGTCGGCCGCGTGTCTAGATGTCACACGAGAAGCAGGGCGAGGCGGCCGCCCGGAGCCAAAGAGTTGGGTCTCGGGAGCTGGTGCCGGGGCTGTCACCTTCAGTGCGGGCTTCGGGACCACGGCTTAACCTCCACGGACTTCGTTTTGATAAAAATAACATTGAAAACACACTTTCTGGAACGTTGAAGTGCAGCGTGATGTGTCCCAAAACTGGGACTTGGAGGAGCCTCGTGGCGGCTGACGGCGCCTCCTCGCAGGCGGGCTCCTGGTTGGCGTGAGGACGTGACCTCTGAGTCTGAGCCGGGTCATGGTAGGGACAGACGTCAGCCAGGGTTAATTCTGTGTCCTGTGGCCCTTCCACCTGCAGTGGAGGTGCGTGCCCCGTTTACCAAGTCATTTTCTGGAATGAGGCTTTTCCTTTAACTCCAGAGCGTGCTCTGTGCCCAGCTGTCCTTCCAGCTCACTGGGTCCTCTTCTTTTCATGAGGCCTCCAGAGCAGCGTGTCCCCGGGAACGTTAGTGTTCCAGGAAGTTAGGTCTCGGGGTCCCGTCAGCGCCTGGAGGTCGGGGCCCAGCGAGGGCTCTCGGGGGGTTTGTCTGTTGCCTGTGTCCTCCACGGGGAAAGAGCTGCAGGTTGGTTTGTGCTGTCAGTGATGACAGCGTGCTTCTGTAAGCTGTCCCCAGAGGGTCCCCAGCGTGCCCTGCCCTGTCTCTTACAGGACCTGCTGGACCCGGCCCGGTGGCGGATGCTGATCCAGCAGTTCCGGTACGACAACTACCGGCTGCACCAGCTGGGAAACAACTCCGTGTTCACCCTCACCCTGCAGGCCGGCCTCTCGGCGATAAAGACACCGTATCCTTCCGGCTTTGGGGGCCCCTTGTGCTCGGCCCCACTCGGTCTGGCTTCACGTCCGTGATCCTGCGCCTTGCCAACCTTTGTCTTCTGTCGGGAGAACCAACTGCAGACTGGGCTCCTGACTTGTGTTGTGGCTCCGCAGTGTGGAGACGGTCGGAGGCAGAGAGTCTTGTCTTCGCTTGGTTGCAGAAACCTCACTGAGCCCGCTCCATCTCCGTCTCGTTCCAGACGTGCCAGGAGCACTGCCTGGTGATCAGACAGCAGATGTTTGCATGTTTCCTGGCAGCTGGGACTGCAACCATTCAGAGTACTTTCCCATGAGATTCCCAGGAATCCTCTACAACTTTAGTTGGTCTGAGCCCTTGTTGCCCTGGCCAAGTGTCTTCTCTTCTCGAACTCATGAAATGGTGGTCACATCTCATGGAGCAGCAGTCCTGTCCCCAGAGAGCTGAGACCTTCTTACCCCAGCATGTGGGTCCCTCTGTCCAGATGGCAGATCCCTCTTGAGTACAGAATGTGGTCCCCTCCCGGATTGCCCCTAGGTTTCTCCCCATCAGGACCCCTTAGTCATCATCTGTCAGCACCGTCATCTGACGCTGGGCACATTGGACAGGCCCCATGTGTGACAGGACTTGGGTCCTGTTGAGGAGGACAGGGGCCCAGAGGGCTAATGACTGTCCCGGGGCCACTGCTGCTGCCCAGCAGAGCCTGGCGGGGAGCCAGGGTGGCCTATGTCTAGCGCTTTCGAGAGAAGCACTTGCTCTGTAGCTCTCAGCCTTCTCTGGGCCTGAGCCCGTCCCGGTGCACGGGGTGGGGAGGGCACATGGGGCTGCCGAGCTTACCTGTTCCCTCTTTCCAAATGCAGGAGGGACCCTGGGCTCTTGTTCCCACTCAGGCCTCAGTGAGGCTGTTTCCTGCCAAATGTAGTGTTTTCTTTGCCTGAAAGAAAACTCCACACTGGCTTTCTGCCTGGTGCCCGAGTGGCTGGGAGGGAGCAGCCCCAATGCACCCTGTCGCCCGCCACCCCGCGACCCTTCCTTAACCTGAAGCACAGACAGTGCTACAAGGAGGACGGCAGCTCCAAGAGCCCCGACTGCCCCGTGTGCAGCCGCTCGCTGAACAAGCTGGCACAGCCCCTGCCCATGGCCCACTGCGCCAACTCCCGCCTGGTCTGCAAGATCTCGGGCGATGTGATGAACGAGAACAACCCGCCCATGATGCTGCCAAACGGCTACGTCTACGGCTACAATGTGAGGGCCGGAGGGGGCGGGGGCCGGGGGAGGGCGGGCTGTCCCCCTCTCTGTTTGCAGCAGGAGCAGATGGGCTCCAGCCCTGAGCTGTCATTTGAAGGAGGGATTGGGGGGGCAGGGTGGGTGAGAAGCTTGGGGCTTCTTGATGGGAGTACCTTCCAGAAGTAACTTTGCAGAGTAATGATTTATTCCCTGATAGTTCGTTGTGTGGATTTTTAATAGAAATCTTAATGCGTGTTGCATTGGCTTGTCTCAATGCACTTGGTCTTATTTTTCAGTCTCTGCTCTCCATCCGTCAAGATGATAAAGTTGTTTGCCCAAGAACCAAAGAAGTCTTCCACTTCTCGCAAGCTGAGAAAGTGTACATCATGTAGGCCCAAGTCGCCAAGCGCGCGCCGTGGGGTCAGGCGACGGTGGGGAGCCCCTCACCCTCACGCCCCCCCTGCTGCGGCGTTTCTGTTTCTTGCGACCAAAGATGAGTGAGCAACGACAGATACTCTTAGGAGAGAAGGAATGAGATGCAACAGGTTTGTACTTGAAACAGCGTTTTGATTGGTAGGATTTTGTAACATGAGTCAACTGTTTGATGTTTCTGAAAAGTACTTTCACCTTCAAAGAAACTTCCTTAAAGACTGACTTCACACCGAGGGAAACTTCAGAACATGTCAGACGTCGGAATGGATTATTTCCCCGTGTTCTCAGTCTCCTCCCTTTTGCTAATGATGAACCCTGGGGAATGGGCTGGTCCTTCGTGTGGCCTGGGAGAGGGGCGGCCACGCCGATGGACCTGCAGCGACTTGGGACGCAGTGCCACGAGGGACCTCGTGACTTCTTGTAGAGCTGCTGCCAAAACGCCAGGCTGCGGCAGGGGCAGGGACTGCTCCTGCCCGCGGCATCAGGACGCGCGTGGGTCAGTGTCGCATCGTCGGTGCCGCCTCATCTCCTGCCTGAGAATGTATTCGCGTGGAAGTCCACGGGACTGCGTTTCTGCAGAGGCCTTGCCAGATGGTTCCATGACTGGATCTAAACACTGTTCATTACAGAAACTAATAGTTCAGTTGAAATAACCACCGATGATTTTTCAAATCAAACAACTGTTGTAGTTCACACTTGACCGTATCGTAGGGGTTTGCATTTAGCGCTTCTTTTTGCATGTTGATGTTGATTAGCTAATAAACTGTAAATGTAAAACATGTTAATAAAAGGGTTTTCTATTTCTTATTTCTGTGTGAGGCGGAAGCTGCTGTGCATTTCTGACACTCGGGTCATGTCTGCGCCCCCACCCCAGCCCCTTTGGTGAGCGGCGGGCGGGACGGGGGCCTGGCTTGGCCATGGGCAGCCCCCGGTGCAGCCCCTCCAGCCCCCATGTGACGACGACACAGCTGTGCCCCCAAGAGCTCCATCCCGGAGTCCTGCTCCAGGCCCCCGTCCGCCTCACAGCCGCCCCCCAAACAGCACCTGTGACGGGGGTCCCTCTGCAGCAGAGCAGGTCTCCTGCTGAGCAGGTGCCTGGCCAGGAGGGGGCCCCACACTCCGAGCTCCTGTCCCAGGCGCAAGGCCACCCCCAGGGCCCCTCCCGCTGCTCGGATCCACCCCTGGACTGGGGCAGGGACGGGCTGAAGGTGGCTCCAAGTTAGGACTCCGGTGCTGGATGACATGAGGCTCCTCTGCCTGGGGGTCCTGCCTTCCGGGAGGGGACCCGGCCCCCATTCCACCCCCACAGTCCCGGGAGCTCCCAGTTGCCCTTTGGCAAATTCCTCTTAATTTGCATAACTTACTTTGCTGTGGCCAGAGTGGGGCTCCGATGCAGCCAGAGACCATCCCAGCCTGGTTAGCCAGGGCACTGGTGATTCGGGGAGCCAGCCCCACCCACCTGCCCAGTGCCCGGACCCTGACACCCTCTGTGCTATTAACTTCTGTCCCCGGTGTGCCTTAAGTGTTTCCTACTGAGGCCACAGAAGGTCTCCATGGCCCTTACAGCTACCCCGTCACACCTGTTCCCCACGTGGGCCGTGCCTCGTGGGCTCCTTTGCAGCCTTCTTCCTGCCTGGCCTGCCCTGGGCTCCTCTGTCAGTCCCCACCCCTACCCCGGGCCCGGTCCCGCCTCTCCTCTGCTCCCTGATGCCCTGGGTCCACGTCCCAAAGAGACACAGCCTCTGGGCCTTTGCCATGCTCTGCTTTGGGGTCTCCCATGACCTGTGCAACTCGGACTCGCCTCGGCCTGCTCGTTGGCCTTTTCCACCCGGAGCCCCGCCCTGAGTCGTCAGCGGTGATGGGGTAATGGGGCTCCTTCGCTGCGGCCACCCTGGGCCCCGACGTGGGCAGCGGGGTGCTGTGAGCAGGGCCCTCACCTGCCTGCTCCTCTCCCTCTTTCCTTTTTTATCAAAGCGTAACACAATGCACATACAGCTCGTAATGAAGTTCTGCATGCCTGCACACGCATGCAGCCACACAGACCATCCCAGCCCCCCAGGCCGCCCTCAGGTCCTTTCCCAGCAACATTCCCCAACCATCCTTCATCGTCAGAGTGGCTCAGCCTGTTCTGGAACCTTGAGAGAGGGAATCACCCTGAGTGGCTCACCTGTGGGGATGCAGTCACTCATGCCACCCGCTGCCATGTGGCGTCCCACTGGGTGAACAGAGCACGGTCGACACGCTTACACGCGATGTTTGCTGGACACGTACACTCACTCTGTGGGGAGGTACTGAGGAGTGGTGTGGCTGGGCCCATGGTCACCAGACACCACACATGGTTGCTCCGCTCACATGCACCGTGTAGCACGGGCTTCCACTGCCCCACATCCTGCCTGTGCTTGGCGCTGGAGGCCGTGGTTTCAGGCATCCTGTTGACTATGGGTCTTTTTAAACTGAGGTCCAGTTTGCACACTGAAATGCACAGATCTTAGTGAACAGTGGGATGAGTTTTGGTAAATGTATGCACACGTCACCACCTGGGCACACGGCATTCCCAGACCCCAGAACATTACACGGCACCTCCTCCTCTGGAGCCCACACTCCCACATGCGATCACCCTCGGGGGCTGCCACCACAGATCAGTTCTGCCTTCACGTAGGTTGGTTGTAGCCTGTCTGCTCTTCTGTTTCCCCCAGCGCGTGCCCGAGGCCCCTCCATGCTGCTGCATGCATCCGTGGCCCTGTGTGCATCGCGGAGGAGTAACCCCTCCCCTGTGCACCATGGTGTGGACCCGCCCCCTTCTGGACGTCGGTTTCCAGTTTTCAGCTACTCTGAGTGAAGCCGCCGTGAACACCGCTGTCAAGTCTTCGTGGACGTCGTTCCCATTTCTCGTGGGTAGAAGGACTGGTCATGGCGCCGCTGCCACAGACCCCCTAGGGAAGCGGGGACACCCCGTGACATCCGTCAGCAGTGCGTCGGGTTCCGGCTGCTCCCCGGCTTTGCCAGCACTTCCTCTCCCGAGGCAGCTCTGCGGGGGGTGTGCGGCCGCTCACGGAGGATTAATCTGCACTTCCCTGACGACTCCAAGCTCCTTCCAGTGCTGACTGGTTAGTCTATACCTCTTCAAGTCTTCTGCCCATTTTCTTCCATGATCTCGTTTTGCTTGATTTGTAGGAATTTTTTAAATATTCTGGATACAGATCCTTTGTCAGATATATGTTTTTATCTTTATGAACAGTGTCATTTCATCAGCAAAGGTTTTAATTTTAGTGAAGTTCAACTTACTAATTTTTTCTTTTATGGTTATTGGCTTTTTGTGTTCTAAGAAATACTTGTATCTCAAGGTCACACTTACAGTCTCTTACATCTTCTAGAAAGTTTACTTTTTGCTTTTATGTTTAGGTCTCGTCAACCTTAAAAATAAAAGCTAGTTATTTTACAAGCAAAACGAGTTTATTTGGGAATAGCCAAGGAATTGCATTCAGAATTTGTGTGCTATGGCGGACCATGGGCAAATCCAACAAGCAAGGGGGAGGAACATTACTTTATGGAGAAAAAGGAGGAAATTGGGAGGGGTTATCTTGAAGGAAAGCCCATTGGAGAAAAGCAAGAGTTCAGGGTGGTGATGGCTTCTCACTGGGGTCCTCAATTTCTGTCTGTGATGCAATGTGCATTTCCTCCTGTAATTGGCAGTTCTTTCCTGTTGATGACTTCTTTCTGCTGGGGTCTGTAATTGACTGTCTTTCCTGTAATTGACCTCGAGTGGCACTGCCTCAGAGCTCCTCCTTCCGGCCCCTGACTCCATTTTAAATGAGGTTTCCCTGGACCAACTGTCACAGTCTGTAACTGATTGCAAATTGACTTTTGTGTGTGGTGAGAGGAGGATCTTGAGGATCCTTCCCTCCCCATGTTTATCCTATTGTTCCAACATCATTTGTCGAAAAGACATTTTTTCTCCCCAATGAATAATGTTGGCTCCTTTGTTAAAAAAAAAAAAAAAAAAAGGAAGGGAGGGAAGGAGTGAGGGAGGGAGGGAAGGAAGGAATTCCCCGACTGTACCCATCTGGGTCTATGGCTGGGTGCTGTCTTCTGTGTAACTGCCCTGCGGCCATCCCCACACCACCCTCCAGGCCCTCGGTCGCTGCAGCTTTGAAGGAAATCTTGAAACCAGGCAGTAGGAGTCTCTTTTGTGTTACTTATTCTCTGCTTCTATTGTTCCCTTGCGTTTCCACATGTCTTGACATGAGTACAGCCATGTTTGGCCGCTCCATTGACCTATAGCCACCAGCACACAAAGAAATACAAAGCTGCTTTCTGTGTGGTGGGAACTGGCCTTTTCCCGGGAACTGGCCTTTCTCCCACGGAGAGAGTTGCAAGTTGTAACATTTCAAGGCTCTTTGGGCGTCATAGTGCGGGACGGACTGGCCATCTGTGCCGGGCTGGGACGATAACTAGAGAAAACAATGCACGTACACAACTACTGGGCTGGGACGATAGCCAGGGGACTCAGTGCACGTACACCGCTGATAACCATTTGTGCATGGAAACACTAAATGCTTGCTCTGCAAACTCTGTAACTGCTTATTCTGAAAATTACTGATGATATAACAACTGCTGGAAACTGAGCCCTGGTGAGAGTTCCACCTGTGGAAGGGACGCCTTGCCCAGGACGTGTGATCCCTGCCCAGCCGTGTCGATTGACAGGGCTCTCCCGGCAGTGGGGCGTGGATGTTATGAGTAACTGATTTGATGTGAAGTAATTGATTTATTGTGAAGTAATGATCTGATGTGTGCTCTTTTCGGTCAACCTGGTGTTTCTCTTTCCAGTTGATTTGTGTCATTTCTCTTCAGTCGATGTGGGTGTTTTCCCTTTCCAGTCGAGCTGATGTTTTTCCCCCTTAATATTTGACGTATTCGGATCTGTTGCGGACTATCGCCCTTACTATCCTCTATATAATAAAATATACCTTCAGTCCATTTGTTTGGAGTGGAAAGTTTCTTTTACGTCTCTGATCAAATCCCCTGAACCTCTCATAACACCACATAAATTTTAGAATCAGCTAAAAAATCATAAAT